TTTAATCATTTTATTGCATAGATTTTAACAAGAAAACTGAACTTTTTATTCCTTTGGTGCCTGCTGGGAATAAAATTGTCTCTGTCTCCCTGGTTCCCATATGCTGTCTTTGAACTTGGTGTGACGCCACCAGGGGTGGGCAACTCCAGGCCTTGGGAGCCGGTATCCTGCAACTTTTAGATGTATCTCTACTTCAAAATTTGTTTTTAAAATTTGACAAGTTAGTTCTGTTGTTAAATCAAGATTTTATCACTTAAGGATGTTAGCAAGGTGAAATCTTATTTTTCTTTTAAGGATTTTGAAGGAATTATCCATGCCTTTATTACGTCTCGATTGGATTATTGCAATTCATTATATAAAGGCATGGATAAAACCTAGATGCAGCATCCTCAAGTGACCCAGAATGCAGCAGCTCGGCTTCTTACAGAAAGCGTGACCCTAACCCTGTATGGGCCTCCTTACACTGGCTGCCTGTTTCCTATCGAATAGATAGGAAACAGTTGTTAAAGATTGTTAAAGATTGTTAAAAGAATCTTAAGATTCTTTTAACAACTTATAAAGTTTTAAATGGGTTAGCTCCTCCTTATCTTTGGGATCTTTTGAAATTTCATTCTGTGTCCAAAACTTTAATATCAAATAATCAGCTTCTACTGAAAGTCCCTTGGACTAGACTCAAGAGAAAAGGAGATTGGGCTTTCTCTGTTTCTGCTCCTATTCTAAGGAATAATCTACCTTTCCAGATTAGATCTGCCCACAGCCTGGATCATTTTAAATTGCTTCTCAATTTTATCCTTTGGTATTCAATTGAGGCCTGATACTGTAGCTCTGTTTTTTTTTTTTTTACTTATTACTTATGAAGCTTTGGTGCAAATTCAATTTGGAAGACTTTTTAGCCTCACCTGCCTCATCAATCAGCGCCTCCCTCTCATCACCCTGGACCTATCAGTGCTGGATCAAGCCACATCATAGCCAATCATCGATAAAGCTCCAGTTGATAAGGATCTTCATCCATGGCCTCCTCCGCTTACCAGCTGCAATCAACCCACCTCCGCCCCATCTCCATTTTCAGCTCCTGGCTCTTCAGGCCACATCCTTCTTCGACCTCTGCCACCAGTACAGGCCCCAGGGGGATTACATTCCTATGGAGCATCAGGAATGTTTATCGAGCTTATTGAAGTTCCAGCTCGACGTCCTCGGCCAGGGCCTGAATGCCAAAGGACTTTAATATTTATTTGTCATTAAACTTTTTTAATCGCTTTCTTTCTCTGTCTGAATCTCTCCAGATTGAAATATTATTTTAACAATATACACTGCTCAAAAAAATAAAGGGAACACTCAAATAACACATCCTAGATCTGAATGAATGAAATATTCTCATTGAATACTTTGTTCTGTACAAAGTTGAATGTGCTGACAACAAAATCACACAAAAATCATCAATGGAAATCAAATTTATTAACCAATGGAAGCCTGGATTTGGAGCCACACACAAAATTAAAGTGAAATGTTCCTTTTATTTTTTTGAGCAGTATATATGGAGTTTTTTCCTTGCAATATTTCTCTTTTTATTTTCATAAACTTATTTTATTATCATTCTTGTACAGCACTTAGGTGCAGTTTTACACCTGTTTTTAAAGTGCTATATAAATAAATTTGACATTGGCATTTGACGTTCAACACACCTCAGTCAAATAATGAGGTCATTAGCAGGACTCTGGAGAACTTGATTGCACTTAGGAGGTGATTCATCTATTGGATTCAAGTGAGTTGGATCAGGGAGACATCTAAGAGTTGTAGAACACCAGTCCTCGAGGACCAGGATTGCCCACCCTTGCACTAGGCCGTACTAGCCTGGTGCCTACAAATACAGCTGATGCCTCATCTCCACCCAAAATAGAGACCATAGAACATCTTACTGGAATACTTTTCAAATAAGTTTACTCAATTTCAGCAGCTTTGGTTCATTACCAAAAGATATGCATCAAAATAAAAGTTTTGTTCAAGTAAGGTTCTAAGAAATTTGCAGATGAAAAGGAGGGAACATGTAGGCAGAAAGACTGACCTCCTTTGTACAAGGTTTTTGTGTAGAGTAGACACACCCAAATCTCCCGTTTTTGTTTTGAATGTTTCCTAAAGACAAAGATGTGGCAACTGTACTGAAAAGAAACTTATAATTTGTATTCTTCTCTAGTAAGGATGGAAAATGCACAGTTTGAGCTAAATTTTTGAAGGACAACAACTCAGACTTAATGGAGGAAAGACAGGATGAATCGCCGAGTTAAGTGTGGAAACAAAGTCCTCCCAGAGGGCAAAAACAGCTCTGTTTTGAAAGCACCAATCTGACTAATTGTTGGGTCTTCGATGGAGTCCCTGAAAAAGGTGAGCAGAACACAGCAAAGTTCAAGGGCTTGCTTCAGCCTACTTGAAGCAGGACGCAAGTAGGCTGGATGATTTTTTTTTTTCCTTTAGTCAGCATTAGTGGCATTTTAGTGATCAAAATTATTTTATCTTCAAATTTCTTGGATTTTGCTTGATGTCAAAACAAAAAAGTGCCTGATAATGGAAAAAGGAGTCTAATCAAAAAGTGGTCTTGAATACTACTACACCTATATATATCCATCCATCCATTTTCTTACACCCTTGTACCATTAGTGGGGTAGGGAGGGTTGCTGGTGTCCATTTCCAGCAAAAGTTTTGGGCAAGAGGCGGGGTTCACCCTGGACAGGTCGCCAGTCTGTCACAGGGCAACACAGAGACATACAGGACAAACAACCATGCACACACACTCACACCTAGGGGGAATTTAGAGAGACCAATTTAACTGACAGACATGTTTTTGGACTGTGGGTGGAAGCCGGAGAACCCACCATGCACAGGGAGAACATGCAAACTCCATGCAGAAAGACCCTGAGCCGGGAATCAAACCCAGGACCGTCTTGCTGCAAGGCAACAGCTCTACCAACTATTAATATATTTTGTAAATATGTTTGGAATATCAATTTAAATGTTTAAACTCTGCTGGTGTCCATTATAATGTTTTTATTGGGCAGCCTAGAGCCCCCCGTTTTGATTGACATCGCATTCGACCAATAATGTTTTGAAATGGCTTTTTCTGAGCCAATAACATCTAGAGAGTGATTTGAGCTCGTTTTGACGTGCCTGCATTCTTTCTGGATTATTTCTAACTGGAAACTAAATCTAAAGCCATCGAAGTGTAACCAACACGTGTCCTGTCATAAGGATATAAGGCATTGTGGATATAAGACATGAATCCACAAGCTGCATGTGTATCCACACATAATGTATGCGTCTTTGCTGCGTCGAAGTCAGGCTCTGTGCGGCCTCATGCGTAACGGTATTTACAGGACTTTTTCTCACCAACCGAGAGTCACAGAGAGACACGCTGTCAGAACGTGTCAAAATTGGATGTATTTCTTCAGCAAAACTTCACAACTCACGGAGTGGATGATTATGGCCGAAAGAGTGAAGACAATTTTTGCATTTGAGAATACCAGAAACTTTACGTCGTCTGCTGTTACAGTCAGAGCAAAGGGGTGTGTGTATAATTATAAGTACTTTCCACTATCAGTAATGTTGTGTCTACTCGAGGATTCCTCAGGTCATTAACTTTCATTAGAGCCTCATTGATGACTGTATGTTGAAGCAGTGAGGAGTTACAGTCATTTGAAGTTTGTATATCAGATGTTGTCCAGGTGTGCTATTTGGAGACTCCAGCACCTTTACATCCTCAAAAATAAACATGTCCAAAATGACATTTCTTTGTTGTGCTATTTTGATTAGTCTTGAAATCCACAAGCAGAATACTTTATTCTACAGATTTATTGTATTTCCCAGTCCATACATTCAACACTCAATGTGCATTTACAAGAAATACAAATGAAAAATCTGGGTGAAGCAATGTTTTCAATTTCTTTTGTTACGAACGTAATAACTACAAACTACTTACAGTTAAAGTATTTTTGACTGCAAAAATAGAAAATTGAGCTTATCATCTTCATACAGACATCAAGCTTTTGCATGTACCCCAAATTGTTCAACAACAGCAGCTGATTTAATTTGGGTATACCTTTTCAGGCATTTTTGGTGATTTTATATATATATATATATATATATATATATATTCATGTAGCACATGTAATATATTGAAATATATTGCAAAATACACAAAGTAACAGTCCATGGCACTTTCTTCTTTGACTACTCTGTACTTTTTTGTTGTCATTTGAACTGGTTATGTTTTTTCACTCTCTAGATTCTAGAAGCTACACCCAATACTTTTCTTGGAGTAAGGCATCAGCTGAGCTACTACTGTCAAAAATGTGTCTCACTCCTTTTACTTTGCATTAATTTAGAAAGTGCTCCTACATCAGTCTGTTTCTTTTTGTGTGTATCTGCTATATCGTGGCAGATGGTCACTTGTACTGAGTCAGGGTCTGCTTAAAGTTTCTTCTTGTTAAAGGGGAGTTTTTCCTCTTCACTATTGGTTCATACTTGCTCTGTATGAGAGATTACTGTAAAATCAATGACACAATGCAAGCAATTATCTACTGTCACTACATACTTGTCCAAGAGGAGTGAATAAAAGTCAATAATTCAATGCAATCTTCCTTAGATAGAAACTTTTTAAAATATTTTGAATCATTAATTGAGCTATATGCACTGTTTGAAGGGCCCACGGTCCTATTCTGACAGGATTTGGCTTAATTTAAGCTGTGGATATATTCCATAACCACTAACAATAAAACTGCGGTGCATGGTGCACCACACATCTGTCAGTTAACAGATCTGCATTTGTTGCTGTATTTTTTAAATTTATTTCATCTGATTTCTCCAAGTTTTATCAATCTGCATGAGTCTCTGAAGAGAAAATACTTTAATGGGTACATCTGACAGATTTATTGGTTCTATGGTTAATGTTGCAATTTGACATTTTAAATAGTTAAATCAAAATATAAAATCCACATTGTGAAGATTCTCACTGTTAGACGGAGAGTCTTTGCACTCGCCCTCCTCAATGGTAACATCATCAATAGCGATATTGCCTTCAATACCCGAGCCTCTGACTCCTTCCATCACCACCTACAGTAAAAGAATAGAATAGAAATATCCTTAAATTCAGGTGTCACAGCAGCAAAAAGCTGAAGTAAGGGCAAATTCATAACAAAAGGCAAAATAAAACTGGTATAAAAATAGTATGCTGAGATTAAAGAAATGTGAGGCTATGTGGCATAATTTAAAGAAAAAAAGTAATTAGGGGTTAAACGTTCAAAATGACCAAGATAATTTATTCCTTTTAATGTTAGAAGATAACTATTAATAATGGCCATTGCTTCATAAAAGAAAATTATAAAAGAAGCACCAAGTTTACCCAAACTTTGAGACAAGATAAAAAAAAACAACTAATTTTAAATTTTGCGTAACTGAAGCTCCCAACCAGCTTGACTTGCTGATGGCACATTTAAAATAAGCTCACATTGGTTCCCTGCCAAGAAAGACTCCAGATGTTTACCGTCACATCATGTCAATTAAGTTTTGGCTCCTACCACCATTTTGGTAACACTTTATTTGACGGGGGTGAATAAGACTGACATGACACTCAATGACATCATAAACATGAATATTTATGACTGTTGTCATAAAGTGTCATTTGGTAAATCATGACACTTTTAATACAAAGTTGACATTATTCAAAATGTCTTCGTTATGACAATGTGACATTATCCAAGACAACGTCGTTGTCATGACAACTTGACATTAAGCAAGGTATTATAACTTGTCATGAATGCAATAACAGGTGCATTTTAAAATGTTATCCTTATAAGACATCATTAACAAGTCACTTTTTGTTATACATACCTTTTGCTGTCATGAGACCATTATAATTCTGACATTATCCTCCTCTGTTAAAGTGTATCACAGTAAACTAGTAATGAAGATGTCATTGAGTGTCATTAATCTATCACTTTAATGACAGAGTCATGAACATTTCCAGTTACCTCAAGTAAAGTGAACCTTGAGGTAACTGGAAATGTTCATGACTTGTTAAAGCTGTCTTATAAGGATATTAGCCAATAAATGCCCCTGTTATTGCATTCATGACAAGTTATAATTGCTTGGTTAATGTCAAGTTGTCATGACAACGACGTTGTCTTGGTTAATGTCAAGTTATCATAAAGACATTTTGAATAATGTCAACTTTGTATTAAAAGTGTCATGATTTACAGAATGACACTATGACAACAGTCATAAATATTCATGAAGACCTAAGGCGCTTTCGCACTGCACGGAACGGTAAGGAACAGAACGGAATGGAACGGTTGTGTTCGCATTACAACTTGCGACCGGTGTTATAGATCAACTGGTGGCTAAATCAACTGGTGGTGGCAGCTGGAAAAGACTGATGTTTCTGTGGGCGTGGCTTTTTAGGACCCCTCCTACTGTTTCTGTAATGTTACACTTTATTTCCTAGCTCATTTACAGAAGACATGGCTACCGCAGATCTATGTGGCAGTGTCATTTCTTCCTTATTGTTGATATTTTTTCTCGTCTTTATTCTTTTCATCAAGTGACCGTAATTCTCAACCATATGAGACATCGCTGAAAAAACAATTGTCTTATATACTTTTACATCAGAAACAGGTTAAAATCTTCACTCGAACTGAGATTCTGAAAGTGCCACCAATTATAATCCAGGCCTGGTTCTGAAAGTGTGGGGTGTCCGTTATATGACAATCAATGACAGCTAGGAAATAAAGTGTAGCGTTACAGAAACAGTTAAAAAGATTTCGCTATAGTTTCTGTGGATACCTATTTGAAATATCACAATATGAGGAATATGTGGAAAAATTACACAGCCAGTCTATCTTTTTAAATCTTTGCTTTCAGATCTGCTCATGCCACATCGAGATCTATTTCGATCTTCCTTTGACGAGTTTCAACCTCTGAAGCAACACATAAGTCAGGACAAGTTCTGCGTAATTTACATGTTTTGATGGTTTTGCAGATGAACTTTTAAAAAAAAGGCAACATACCATATTAGACCAATAAAGTCTTTCTAATTAGTTATTCCCGAGATCTTAGTGGTTGCTTTACGGAATCGGATAGTATTTTTGCAAAGATTTGTAGTTCTTTAAGCTTATTGCATTGTTTACTTCCTGGTTCTGTAAAGGGGTCCTAAAAAGCCACGCCCACAGAAACATCAGTCTTTTCCAGCTGCCACCACCAGTTGATTTAGCCACCAGTTGATCTATAACACCGGTCGCAAGTTGTAATGCGAACACAACCGTTCCGTTCCGTGCAGTGCAAAAGCGCCTTTATTCATGTTTATGACAGTGTCATGTCAGTCTTATTCACCCCCTTTCAAATAAAGTGTTACCAAAATTTCTCCCTTGATCGGAATGTATCTGCCACACCACACAGCTCCCCTTAAGCCAGGGGTGTCAAACG